TAAATGTATGCTTCCTCCTCCAGCAATAAACCGTGACATAATACATCTGAAAACGAGTCCGTGTTGAAAGTACCACCCTTTTCATTATGGATGTATCTAATGGAGAGAAAAGTAAACAGGAACTTGTAACTTTTTCCAACTGCTCTCTTTTTCTTGGTGTAAAGTATTCTAAAGTAATCTATACCCATCAGGTTGAATAGTAATAAACGGGCTACTCTAAAAAGAACAGTTTGAATAATATGTAGTCAAGACCTGTAGATAATATATTCTTAATGTAAATTAACCTTATTTTTTGAGCTAACGGCGGTTACTTTTATTTTTATCGACCTACTGTGCCAAGCAGTTTTTCGGTTAATTATTTATTTACAGTTTGGAAAGCTTCAAGAAAGTGAAGACACTTTTTGATTAGTTTTAGAATTGCTGTTTGACCACCTCACATTATATCACCTTGGTGAACAAGAATGGGTACAATAGTTGCTCAAATACAACCTAGCAGTGGATATTGTGGAAGTTATTTTTAAAGATCTTATTTTTACCCAGTTGTTCTGATATTATAAGTGCAAGTTTGTTCAAAGGCACTAGTTTAACTCTAACAGTTTGCGGCGTCATGTAATGAATTTAATGTCAGTTAATTAAATTGACGTATCTATACTTCAATATAATATCTAAAAGCCTTTCCCCCCTACTAATTCTTAGGTATGAACGTGATCTCACGCAGTCCTAGGTACGTTTCAAATCTGTGGTAATAATGTGAAGTATATATACTCAGTTTTTATCATTGTTTTCTCATGAAGATATTGTCAAGTCCTTATATTTTCTGAAATTAAAACTTAGTCTTTGTTTAAAATAGGAAGTAATATTACCTATTACTTCACATCGTACCGTCCAGGAGTCATTTCAAAAACATATTACTGATTTACTGTAACGTCACATCAGTCATACAACTAACACATTCAAAATGATTCGAACATTCGCTATGTATGAGATTAATGCTATTTAGATGACTTTGATTACTGAGATGTATATCCATTTTAATGCAAAGAACGATCTCCTACTTGTATTTCAGTAGTTTTCCAGTGATAAAAACACATTTAAGTACTAACTAGCATGATCAAGATAAGGTAAACTACCTATTCAAAAAGTCAATGGTAAATCTATATTTATTCAGAAATCGATGTTATTTTATCTATTACAGGGTGGCCAACAGTTCATGTTCAATGTTAAGCGAATCTTCAAAACAAAGTGAGTAATTTCAGTCGTTTTGTAAATATCGTACTGTTTATCGTGAATTGAATTTCTTTCTGCATTGCTGTTGTAATCTAAGTTATTTTTGATATCGAAATTCAATTCTCCCATTTATATTATTATTTTATAAGTCTCATTATATGTATCATAACCATATGACAGGTATTTTCTGTCACTAAATCGGGTTTTTGTGCTTCCACAAATACTACGCTCATAAATGCCAAAAGCTGAGGCTAAAGTCAGGGGATTCAGTGTACCTTTTTAATTGCTACGGTCTCCACTGCGTATTATTTTCATGAACACATAGCTTCTCTCAATTGATAAATATAAATGTTAATAAGCCTAAATAACATAAGATAAAGTAGTAAAACCATTTTAGTCTATAGAATTTACACGTCAATCTTCTCTATTTATACACTAGTCCTTACTAGGTAAAAATTGGACTGATCAATGTGTGTGAACGAGAACACGGGTGAGGACGAGCAATTTTATCTTCACAAAATAGAAAATCTAGAAGCACTGGACGGCCGTTCTATCCTAGTATGAGACTCCTCAGCAGTGAGCATCCACGACTCCACCTCGCGAGATTCGAAACTAGGACCGACCGGTCTTGCGCGCGAACACATAACCTTTAGACCACTGAGCCGGTGGAGTTCAACCGGGTCTGTTGTGAGATAGTAACTCACTGAAGACAATGATGTGCGGTGGCGCAATTTCGTGGATTGTTTGAACCTAGACATTAACACCGTTGGATGTCGGCACAGTAATCTAGAGGTTAAGTGTTCGCGCGCGAGACCGATATACCCTGGGTTCGAATCTCGCGAGGCGGGGTCATGAGTGCGCACTGCTGAGGAGTCTCATACTAGAACGCAACGGCCGTCCAGTGCTTCCAGGATTTCAATGGTGGTCTAGCTTCGATTGACTCATAAATTCAACTACTAAATTGCTATAATATCGACAAAACCCTTCTCTGATTTGAATTGAAGGCGAATTTTATCCATTGATAACCACAGAAAACGACATAATTTCTTTATTCGATCAGGTTCATTTTAACTGTCAGAGTATTAAATATCCATGTATTTTCTAAATGTTATTTTATTAATGGAAAATTTCTAATTTTTCCAGATTGCGTTGCTATTAAGAGATGTCGGTGAACCGAGTTCATGCGTGGTACCTATCATGCACAATTGAAAACTGTACATAATCTATTATAATAACCAATAAACTCATTTTTATACCAAAATTTCTTTTCTTTATTAGGTAATGTTGTGAGGTTGATTATTCTGATTTCTTCCAGTAATTTTTCAGCTTGACATTTCTGTAAGTTCTGTTAGCTTAGTCCTTTATATTGCATTGGTCTATAGTTGATCAGGGGAATTACCACATTGCTTCTAAAAGCTCTCTCGATCTTTCCGGCTTTGGCTGCTTCCAGGGTACGCGAGGTGTCCGTTTACCAATGAAGGGATGAATATACCGCTGATTTGATGTTTGGCTTTGGAGCAACTAAATGTGCATTGTGGTTATGGTGTAAGCTGCTCAGCAATATATCAAAGGGTTATTAGAGCTACCAGTCTTTATCGACTGCTGTGCGTAGAACATTTGCTTCGGATACCTAGCCACCGCCTTCTCTGAAGCACGGTGCTGGTTGAGGTGGAAATATGTTTAAGTAAACTTCGGAGAGGTTGCTAAACCAAAACATGGTATCAGACTATGAAGTCAACAATTTATGAAATGATTGCTCCAGGAGTTGGTGAGGGTTACCTGGTTCGTGTCTGCGCATTTATTAATTAGAGACTCCGAGTGATTTGGGTTAGAATCGATCATAATGACATAGGTGCACTTAATCCTTACTTTTCTCTCAATGTTGATCTTCAAAATTGTTCCATAATTTTTCAGACCCATCCTTATTTTGAAATATTTAACTTCGCAGAATTATTATTTTAACTCTCTTGCTATTTATAGCAATAACATCACGTCATAGTAATGTGGCACAGCAACCTGGACTGACGCACTTTTGTGCCTCGATGGATGTTGGTCAAGAACGACCGACCGTACTTCCTTAGGTTTCGGATATTGACTTCCATTAATTTTCATTGGTAATTCTTTTAGTTGTGCATAAAGATAAATCATATGCAATCACCTACTTTCATTTGGATATACCTGGAATTTATGTCGTCGGAGTTTTTCTTTTCGTACCCTGCATAAATGTACAGTTTAAATTTATACGAATGTATAGCCTTATTTGAAATCATTTTTACTCGTTTGCGGTTCGGGGACTAATAAAGGGAAATTTGAGCCTCAGGTGGCAGTAGTGTTAAGTCACTCAGTCATTTGCAAAGGGGAACCTAGCATTTAGGATTATCGGTTCAAGTTTCCATACCACATTAGCACAATGAAATAGTTCTTTTTATACAAATACCAAAGTAATAGTAATAACAGTATCAGTAGTTGTACGTATAAAAGGGAAACAGAGATAAGGAAGTTTCAATAACTAGATTCTAAAGAAATAATGAAAGTAAATGGACGTGCACCAATGCAAACGATTTTGGACCATGACCTTCAGTCTCTAACCACTGGACACGACAATCATGAGGACACCAACAATGTAGTCTACACCTATCAACATGGCTAGATTCAATTACCAACAACTTCGTGGACTGATGCCATGTTTTGGTTTGGCCGCCCCTACCTTTCTTCCAGTCTACTCTCACACCGGAAAGCATTGCCCAACGAGGTAGACGGTGGTTGGGGGTACGTAACACATCCCAACCGTCTCATTTGATGAAGATTTACTAACTCGTTATTCGATTTCATATCCTTACCTAGTAGCCTGTTTCTAACCCAGACATTACTAACTCTGTGGTCCCAAAATACATATCGTCGTGATGCATATATATTTGATATGGATATGTAAACTAAACAACACAGACGGCATCGAATGTCTAACTTTAATGCACCGCCAAATGCTATCATTAAGGTACACTGAACTTTAAATATTATGTTTCATTAGTAGTTATGCAGTTTAACTATCAGTTGTAGCACCTCACGATCTCTATATGAGTCTTAACAGTTTGTGACGCTAGGTGACTTTTTTAACGATTACGTTTGTACACGCTTGATAATTCTGATTTACTATTAGTTGTAGCATTATATACCCATAAAATAACCGAGCATACGAATGTCGTGACATGGTTTAATAGACTTCTTTCCTGTAAACCAGTACGTTTCTAAGGTGTGCACAAGTGTCGAGCATCAAACTTAAAATTTTTAAAAAATCATTTACTTATCTAGTGGCAAGCATCTGGCCATAATAACAGTTACCATGATACGAAAATTTTCAACTTTAACCCATCTTTCTAAAAGAGCATTCGGGTCAGTTTCTCAATAAGTTGCAGTGTTATGTTTCTGAACAGTCGTTCGTCAAATGAGCTTACGTAAAAGTGCGCTTGAACTTGTTGCGAAAGTTACGCACTTGATTAGACGTTCCATGATTGTCAGACATGGTAGTAGCTCGAAAAAGTAATAATAACTATTTATAAGCAAGGGTAGGTAAACAGGTAGTCTTTTTGTCTGATGGCACTTTTTCATGATTTATACTGCTTGAACTCTTTATAAGTGGTTTTGTCATGAGTCATAAGCTTCTAAACTCCAGGCAGAATCAAATTATCCTTCTATTATCTGTTTATTATTCATATATGCCATTAAATTTCCTCTGTTTATTTCAAATCGCTGTGTACTTCAGTCTTGTATTTTTAGGGATGGGGATATTTCTTACAGTGTCGGCCAGTTCCACAGGTTACATTCCAAATAGATCTCAAGTTCTTCCTCCATTAAGAGGAAGCTTTCCTTTAGATCATCATGGTGTATGTAAAGTTGCTATGTTGGAATGGACTCAATGTATGAAAAAGAATCATTGGAATAATTCTTTATGTAGATCTGAAGCGGCCGGTTATTTGCGTTGTCGAGCAGAGAACAATTTAATGGATCCTGATGAAATCTCCTTGCTTGGATTCACTGAAGAAGAATGGAATCAAACTAATAAACATTTCGATAGTAAAACGTAACCACTCTTTGTTTCGTAGACAAATAACTAAATACAAATCTGATTTTAAAAAATGCAAGTTATTTTTTTCATAGTAAATTGCGGACTACATTTTTGGGGACAAAACACAAATAAAAATTGTTTAAAGCTAATTATGATATTAGTGAAATATCAGAAAAGTAAGTACCGAACAAAACAACGGTATTGCAATAGAAATAAACAACGAAAAAGCAACATAATGACATTAAGACTGAAACAATTATCATCTGGAGGACAAAAATGCTTTTGAATGTGAATTAATATTAAGTTGGTTAAGTTAAAAGCTTTCGAGCAGACGTTGGAGCTAGCAAAAGTAGCAATCCTTCTAGTCTTTCCAATAGATAATTGATTGGACTGAAAAACCAGTTGAGAGTCTGTGAAAGAAGGAAAATTAGTTGGTTTCAGAATCTAAACGGTAGTGTCAATCAATGAAACGTCAAGTTAAATTGTTCACTATACTGTAAGCCCGCATAATCTAATAATCATGAGTACGTAAATAATACCATAAAATAAATAAAAGTGCAACTTAACAAACTAATATTTTAGATATGAGGTAAATAATCGCATCCATTACGTGATCAGTCGTATCCAATGCTGTGTAATACAGCAGTTGATTGACTTTATCATTTAAGTAGTTTAGAAATATAAGATATGTAAATGACAGTTTTCTGTTGTTTTTCGAGTAGATATTGAAACTTCAAATAGTAGTGGCAATTATACCAAACTTATAGTCCCGTTTAAACTCACCTTACTAGAAAGTGATCCCATTTGTTCAGGATAGACATGAGTTAAACATGTAAGTATAGCTGTTAAAGAGCATAAAGCCGCAATAAATAGAATAAAAAATGGCACATCTTTTTTCGGATACACAGATAATGTATGAAAACCTAAATATAAAAAGATAGCACAAAGGAAATTCGTTATGATACATATATATTTCTTTTAAAGTTATGGGTATGTACAAAAAGACTCATGACATTTTATAATAAATAAAGTATTACACATGGTAATAAATCTAGAGCTCCACATTGGTTGTTGTAAAATAATACGGGCGCCTTGTAGTTTTAACGGTAATATTTTCCATAAACTTTCAGACATAAACTCAAATTTAATGCTATCAAGCTTATAATTAGAATTAATTTGACGCATTTTAACACTGAACTTGTTTATCATATCTATTCATATAAAGATAACTATAATTTTCTCAAATGTAGTCATCTAGATTAATTTCTCCATTGAAATATCTGTTTTTATTATTAGTATGATAATTTCTGCTGTAATATGGTTGCATTTAGTTCATGTCAAATATGACAATCCACCAACTAGAAATTAGCTCTAATTCCAGAATTCGTGATCGTTTTATTTTACCAAGCACGAGAGATTTCTACTCGTTCATACTTGTAATTGAAAATAGGAAGCTACGTTTTTAGCCAATAATATTTGTCATCATCTGTTGTGTAAATTCCATTCACTTTCATACAACCAAGTTTTTGGAAGTAACGAAAAAACATCGCACGTCAAGGCAGTGGGTGGTTGGGCATACGTAACACGTGTCCCAGCCATCTCAACTGATGAAGTTTCACTACTTCATCAATTGATTTGCCATCTTTACCTAGTACCCGATCCCTAACAACTGCATAACTTACTCGGTGGTCCCAGGATAAACGAGCAATGTTTCGAAGACACCTATGATCGAATACTAGTAACCTACGAATATCCTCTACTCTTACCGGCCATGTTTCACTGCCATAAAGAAGTACGGGACGAACTGCTGCGCAGTAAACCCGTCCTTTGGTTGATAGACGGATATCTCACCTATGCCATAAATGTCAAAAGCTAGTCGAGCCTTCTGTATTTGTCACACACCATACTACAAAGGCTGATGCGACTCCCAAGTGAAGCGGTCGGCACGCTCAACTACTTCACCCAAACCTGAAGCAACACTTTACATTTCGAAGGGGAGAATCGCATCCCGAACATGATTGCATTGTTGCTTAGAGTGGTCAGAAGACTGCATTTTGTCAGCGTCTTCGCCAAATAGAACTATGTCATCGGCATATTCTAAGTCAACAAGTGATCCTCCCGGTAGAAGTTCAACCCCTGGAAATCTAGACGAGGAAAGTGTTATCTCTAGAAGTACGTCAACGACAAAGTTAAACAAGCTGACACCGCTCTTCATTATGTTCAGAGGAAGTCGTGAAGGACCAACACAAGCCAGCCCTTTGCAGCTTTCTTTCATACCACGACACCATGTCATACACTGACCACCTCTCCGCTTCTTCCAACCAGTCCCAGAGTCGGCAAATAATGCACGACGTTGAATTCTTTGGGACGACATTCGTAGAACATGTACAAGCCACCGAAGTCGGTGTTTCAAGATGGTGACATCGATTGCATTATCATCTCTGTGCCCGAACACACGATGCCGAACCTCTGCATTACTGACATGGTGTTGCCACTGAATGTCAGCAATCCTTCGGAGACAGCGATGATCGAACACAGAGAGTCGTCTAACGTCCTCAACTCGGAGAGGCCAGGTTTCACAAGCATAGAGCAAAACTGCTCTTACCGACGCGTTGTAGATCCGGCCTTTTACAGCCAGACTAACACCACGAAGGCGCCAAAGGTGTCCAGATTGGCACAAGGCGCTCTGGCTTTCACTATTCGTGCATTGATCTCATCACTCACACTACCACCAGCACTTAGGTAGCTACCCAGATACACGAACTTCTCGACTACTTCTATCTGCTCACCATCCAGGGTGAGTGCAGGATTAGAATCCTGCCAGTCTTTTAGAAGTACTCTGCACTTCGAAGGTGCAAAGCACATACCATACCTACGGACACTGATTTCCAACTGATTAAGTGCGGATCGCATGCCTTGGACATTCTCGCACAGTAAGACAATATCATCCGCATACTCAAGGTCGAGAAGTCTTTCTCCAGGCAACAGATCCACACCGCCATTACTTACATCCATCAGAGCTGTTTCCAGAATATCGTCGATGGCAAAGTTGAAGAGGAATGGTGAGATTCGGCAACCCTGCCTAACCCCACTGCTTGAATGGAACAACGGAGAGAGGTGGTTCTATGTCCTCACTCTGCCTGAGGTGTTTGTATATAGGGCTTTTAGGATGTTGATAAACTTCTCAGGCACACCGTTCTTCAATAGACAATCCCAGAGAACAGTCCTATCCAGCGAATCGAAGGCAGCCCTGATGTCAAGAAACACTACGATTGTTGACCTTTGATAAGTATGGCGGTGTTCTAACATTTGGCGGAGGGTGAAGAGATGATCAATACATCCTCGACCAGAACGAAACCCAGCCTGCTCCTTGAGAGCCAGTCTTTTTCGGGTTTTGAACAGTCTACCAAGTATGACGGAAGCCAATAGCTTGGACGCGAACGGAAGTAGACTTATCCCCCGATAGTTGTTACAGAGACGACGTGAACCCTTTTTAAAGATAGCGACTTCCGCCTCATTTGGATGGTCAGTCGTCACCGGTCATGAAGGGCAGGGCAGTCTGACCGATGTTGCCGGAGCAGCAGGCCAGTTGAACTGCCCTTCGAAAAATTCTGCCCATCGTCCAAGACGTCGATGAATGTTAGTGATTGGCATCCCATCATCCTCGTAGATTGTTTCGCCCACACCAGACTTCTTGCTGCCCGTGGCTCGGATGAGTTGGAAGAGCTTCCGGTCATTACCAGATGCAGCTGCTGCTTCCAACTCATTAGCACGCTTCGACCACCAGGCTTCTCGGTCCTTACGCAAGCTTTGCCCAATTTCATTACGTAACATCCTTCGTTTGTGGTCAAACTCACGGTCACCCGGAGTAGACCAACGGGCTTCAATCAGTTGTAAGGAACCTGAAGAAACCCCGTGCTTGTAAGCGGGACGTTTCGCGAACCCACAACTGACTGTACCCGCCATTTTGATGGGGTCATGCAATTGCAACCAATGCTCATCTATGCTTTTCGGCGGAATGGTAGCTAGCCTAGAAACTAGCTCGGTTCGATACATACTAGCAACAGAAGTTGCAACCAGCTTGCTAACATCAATCCGTTGATGGCGGTCACTTTGTTGTCCACTGAAAAGTTAGGTAAGATTGGCGCAGACCAAGGCATGATCAGAGTCCAGATATGTACTCCAAAAGGAGCGGCGGTCTTGCAGACAACCACGTCAGCGGTAGCTGATCGCGATGTGATCAATCTGAGTCCAGGCTTGAGATGCAGAGTGAGGACGCCAAGTGGCACATCGGCGATGACTGTGCCGAAAGTTAGTGCTAGCCAGAAACAGGTTGTGGTCTGTGCATAGTTGCAGTAGACGGTCCCCGTTATCTGTCCTGCGACCAACAAGTCCCCATCGACCACCTAAACAATCCTCTTCTGTGCCTAGACGCCCGACCTGAGCATTCAAGTCTCCGGCTAGTACTACAATATCTATCGAACGCACTTTCTGGAGAAGAACAGATAACTGGTGGTAAAACTCATCCTTGATTGCATCCGGACTGCAATCTGTCGGGGCATAAGCGGAGACGACGAAAAGACATCGTTTCCCACGCCGATTTCTTCTCACTTTGATGGGACTTTCCAACCTAACAGCACATAACCGACTGTTAATAAGGATCCAATCGATTAGTGCTGCCTCAGCTCTAGCGCTTAGTGCGACACCAACGCCAGCAAGACCAGACGAAGATGCCACAGGGTCCCCGGATAAACGCACGTAAAACAAGCTTTTCGAAGCGACAGATGGAGAGCGAATTTGTAGTACTTCACCAGAGTCTTGAATACGGGTCTCGAATAGCCAGCAGACATCGATATTAAGACTTTTCAAAGATATAGCCAGCCCTATCTGTTGTCCGACCTGCATAAGTGTGCGTACGTTGAAGGCAGCCAGTTTGAATGGTGCACGTGGTTTCAGAAAAACTGCTTCAGTACTCATATTCGGTGGTAACATAGAATTTTCAACCGGACTGTGACTCGAGAACGTTTAGATACAGTCGAATTTCCACCAAAGACGAGCTGCTGTATAAGTCGAAAAAATAAGTATAAACAGAGCGGAAATAAAAGAGGGTGAATAATGACGTAGTAAATAATAATAATGCGAGTCACTTGATTGTTATTTGGAGCGAGAGGAATGTTTTTCATAAGTAGATAGTTTATCATGTTTTTGTGTGAGGGCTGAGATACTGTCCCGGCGCCCAAACCGAAGCAGGTGGTTATCTTAGGGGGCCACTCCCCGAGCCTTTGACCTAAAGGTCTAACCCATAAGGCAGTGGAGCATCGTAAGGAAATGCAGTCCCATGGTAGCCGGTGACCAAGGAATTGGTTCGTACGCCATTTGTTCCCGCAGGATACTGGAGCCCATATGCACCATTGGTTTGGGATCCGGTTAAAGGGCCGAACATTCGCTTTTCGTCCTCTCAGTTTTGTTAACAACACCCCCGCCACGAGAAGGTAGTGAGTAGGACTTCCCTGACAGATGCTGTATACGCGTGGCCGTGTGACAGTATTTCGAGAGCGAGGGCGAACCCACCCCTCTCTCGGCTATACCAGAGCATTTGGGGGCTGAAAAATTTTTATGTCAACTTTATTGGTCGAAGCACTTAGACATGAACATCTTACACCTAAAAGCCTGGATATATTTTAGCACGTTAGTGATGGTAGCATTAGTTTGAAGCCAGAACTCTCAACATCTCGTCTTTATAGGAGGAAATGATATCTTTATCTATGAAGGTATGTTAGTTGTTTCTTAGTAAAAATTGTGGATTTTTTCACGCTTGTAATTTATACTGCGATTTTGAGCTGTGAGTAAGGTCAACTTTATAATAAACCGAAGTGTATCTCCATAATTATTGACAAAAGAGTTTTTCAATTTCCAGCCCGTAAATTTCATTTGAAGTTTAAAAAGTAGAGCACAATATCAATAATAAAACTAAGAACATGATTTACAGACTTAAGCCAATAAGCCAATTCTCCTACGAATTATAACTATTTTTTACGTATTGCTTAACCTATTTCTAATTGTTCTGTATTCGATAATATCTGCCTTTACTGCGAAAGAAATAGCAACATTAGATCTTAATTTCCGATTAAAGGTGGGTTCAAATTATTCTTCTCACAAACGTTTAAGATTATAATGCTAGCTGGTTGAAATAAAACATATCAAACAATACCATGTTTTCCAAGAGAGGATTGAACAAGTGATCTATAAAACAGTTAATTGAATTCATCTACGTAAATGATGTAGTTCACCAAATATATTTTGACATCATTTATGAGACTAGAATTTCATTTTTTAAATTTTATTTGAACACAAATATTGGTAAAAGGGGGCACCAGATATATATATATATGCGCCACACATGAGACTAGAATGACAAAACAAAAACAAAGTATTCATACTTGGTAAAAGTTCTCGATCGGTCGCTGTAGTTGAATGGGGATAAGGATAAAAGAGGTTTCCTTTTTCTAGAGGATATGGAATGAGTCGAAAAGTTCCCTCCCATGTACAATATAATAAATTAATTGCACCTTCTACAGCTTTCCAATGAGCTAAATGAAAAAATGCATATGCTATGGCTTCAGAATCGCCACGTTTTAAAATGTGCTCTGTAGGCAATATTAGAGGTTTCATTTCAAGAAGGTACTGAAAGAGAATTTAAATGAAATAAATCCAGTAAATATGTGATTTTTTTGTTTAGAAGTAGTATAGATTTGTAATATGGTATTTCGATTGGTAGAAAACGAATTGGTCAGTCAGTAGAAAGAATGCTTTGAATCATGACTGATTGATTTATTCTTTCATAAGTCTTTTCGTTTCTTGACTATTATCAATATCAAGAGATATCTTTGTTGTTTTTACTAAGAGATAAATAATAAGAGTAAATGCTAAAACGGTAATTAGGATCGCAGGAGGTTTGTGTTCAGTTAAGTTGCGAATTCTTCCGTCTAAATAGACCAGATTAATTAAAGGGTGCGTAAAAATGCATCACGGAATTACTACCACTTAATGGATATTACTTTCAAGTCATGAGTTTAATTATTAAGACAGTCATTTAATTTAGTCAAAGCACTATTACAGTAATAAATTCCCGATAACAGTTTACCCTAAGAATATTTAAAATACGAAAAAAAGCTATTGAAATTTATCTAATCGCCTCACCGTGTTCGCTCAACTTACTTCAAATAGGATGAGAGGTGGCTTAAAAACGTATATGACAAAAATCAAATAATTAAGTAATCTTTGTGAGATACTGAAGTGGATAAGTTTTAGAAAACGTAACCGGTTCTAGACTTTCATCATTAATGAGTAACTGAATAGACTGCACTACAATTCTGTAGAAGGTTTGTAGATACTAGCGATTATCTTTCATTCAATGTATTTGGGTAAAAGTTAACCAGTGTAAGGACGTATGCTTGGAAGCCCAGTGAAATCTAACGAGTGTTCTAAAGGAGATTTTAAACGACACATTTTTAATTATTTGGTTATAGTTTATTTGCGATGTTCCCAATTACGCGGAGGAAAATTAGAAACTAATACAAGGGTTTCTGTAGCCGAGCATAATGAATAGTTCGGACTGGATTAATATGTTCGATATACATTATCACGAATGGGAAATATTTTATTCAAGTAATTTGACTATAGCAGAAAACAGTAAGATGAAGTTCTGTAAACCATTAGCTAAGAAAATTACAATTGGATGAAGACTGAAAACGCAACTGATGTGTAATGTGTTTTTTCTTAACAGGAATTCAATTTACACAGGTGATTCTCTGATCAAAGTAACTCACACGAAAATAAACATAAGTCGCCTGTTAGCTACACTTCTAGCATTTGCTTCACAGCTAAAATGGAATTAGACAAATTTAAGACTGGTACTAAATATCGTACAATGCTTCTAACCGACTGCATCATGATACAGAATGTAAACAGTTCGGTTAAGTAAGTACTCGACACATTTGTGAGAGTGTCAACAAAATACTGAACTTAATTGACAAGTTCTTTCAGTGCTCTAACAGTATGTGACGATATTGTGCACATAACAAGTATAATGTACAAACCTTTTTAAACAGAGAGCAAACAAATACTAACAGCAGTTTGCACTTGATTGGCTGTTAGTTTTTTCAAACTATAAGCTCCATATGAATTCGGCTACCAACTCATCTAAAACTGACCTGACAGTTTCTTCTTCCTGTAATAATGGGGATGTGACAACTTGAACTGATGTATACATGTCAATAATGCATATGACTAACTGATTACTCGCACGTTTGGATTTCGAATCATACTAACTGTAAGAGTCAGTAATACTGTCTGGGTGTTCGAACTAAAGTGGGTGAGGCGGAATATGAATCTGACTAAAAAGTCGAATGCCTAGAAAACTGGACCACCGCTTTATTTGAAGTACAGTGTTTAAAACTAAGATTACAAAGGATCCATATAACAGTGGACTCACTTTTGGTACATGTGGATTAAATTCAACAGCCCGATGAATAGCTTCAACAGCACTCAGTTCAGCTGCATTCAAACCCCTACGTGACGCTAAGTCCGGAGAAAATCTAAATAAAAATTTATAACATAAGATTTTAGTAATGACAAGTAAGTTGTCAAGTAACAGTAATTACATATGAAAGGTGAAGCGGTTACTATTATTCTCTTCCCCATGACTGAATTTTGCTCCGAAACCTATCAGCTGTTATCTCTAATCCGACTGGTCGGCTTCAGGCCATTCACATAGTTCAGTTTCGACAAAATAGTTTTGCCACTTCAAACGCAACTTGCTGTCTCCGTTTCGATCGCTCTTTTATTGGTCTCATAAGTAGCAAACGCATAGCAAGTCCACGTTACAGCCACATTGAAAACAATGTTCAGCTAAGCAATATAACAAAGAAAAACTTACTTTTCAGATACTTGTCTCGCTTTAAGTAAAGCTGCAGTGTAACATATAGTAGCTGATTTCGGATAGTTGATATCTGAAAAAGGATAGAAATGGAGCGAAATAAGACTATGTTAGTCTGAAGTTTTATACTTCAAGCAAGTATTATCAAAAAAATTACCAACAGGAAGAGCAGTGGATTCAAAACGTTAACATCAATAAACAGGACATTGAGAATATACTTTTGAAATAAAAACGGACTGAACTGCGAAAGAATTTGTGTAAAACAACGTTACATTCGCCATTTAAAGAAAGATTAAGAATGAATGGGTCTACTTCACCTAAAATCGATTTTAGCTCACATCCATAGAATTTGATTACGATTGCATAGAGGAGCTAATGTCGCCTGGACTTGCGAACACAGACCACAGAAAGGGCTAATGGCTTAATAGATTAATATCACCTATTAGTCTGACCGCACCCACTTTAGGAAATGCATCTCCGTGAAAACGTAGCATATTTCCCAATTACTCCAGTTAGTCTAGTTTCATAATACTTTTGCTCATAAAGCGCTATGGAGAAACGAATAACTGTAGAACCCAATAGTCAATAAATTAAATCAGATATAAATAAACGTGTTTGATTAGAACGTCTCTAGAAGACGGATGTATCCCTTTTAATAGACCTTTCGACAACAGAAAATGACATAAAATTTATCGATCAATGAGGTCAAGAAATACGATGGCTATTGAGTTTTTAAGTATGCTTATGCTCTTGAACCCCATGAAGAATTTTTGTTTCCAAATGTATATGTCCAGGTCTTAAACCAGTCTAATTTCCTAGGGTTTGATCACCACGAGCTCTGTCAAAGGTATGAATAATGATAACAGTTGATGTTTCAATCACAACACTGGTCATTTAATTTGGTGTATTTTTTTCAAAAACTATGTTTTTCAAATACTTGAGAAATTGAAATTGGTGACCAGTCTTACGGAACAATTTCTAGCTCTTCGAATCCAGATACTATCTTAGTCAACAAACGGTGATGCAGGATGAAAATAACCAATAACTTGGTAGTGGCCTTCGAGTTACACTAGCCATTATTAGTCTTTTAGGTTAGCTTGCTAACAGATGTCACTGCAGCTTTTACAAGAGATAAGACTTCCTCAAAATCTAGGACGCAGAATCAGTCTATGACGTTAACGATTGTTGATTTGAGTCGTGCTTGGAGATAGATTCCATGGTTCGAGTTCATGCTAAGGTCGAAGAATAAAGTTAGAGACCTATTGGTGACCGCTGAAAATCGATCCCAGTAATGCTGTTACATCCTTTGCATTTCTCCGATCCTATACCTTCAAAGAGCGTCTACTCGTCTTGTAGAAGTACTATACATTCAGAAACTGTAAATTACATACCCTACTTATGGAAACCAATAGATAACTGATTAAATGTGATTTGGACAGGTTGTGTTGTCGCACATCAAGACGATGTATGTCAGAATAGCAAATTTACATTACCACTTCCCTTCATTGGAGCTGTTTACGGAATGACATCGATGCCGAAACTGAAAAGAAGTATTGTATATAGGGAGACACTACCTAAAAGTCAGTCAAATGCAACGCAGAAACCAGCACATATGTGCATCGGTTCAAGTTGCTATCCAACATTAGCACAACGAGATGAAACTATTAAGAACTAGCAAAAGCATCAGAAGTAGTACTCTATAGAACTAATTGTTAAGCTGAAACAAAGGAGAGAGGATGGCGTATGCATCCATCCTGTTTGAGAGATATGTGTACAGAGCCTTCGAGATGATAATAATAAAATTATTTAAGTTCTTTGTAAAGGTAGTGACGAAGATTTTTCATTCCAAAATGATAGGACAATCTGTTACTCAAAAGTTTTTCAACGAGCTAGTCAGTCTCGTAGCCAAAAGTTCTCCGTTATCCCCAAAAAAGGCTAAAAGTTAGTCATTTAAGACTGGTGACGTTCCAGCAGTTGAAATTCTTTATGAATCTCCGCTTTGTTGTGTGGGTCAGTAGTCAATGACCAAAAAGTATATCAGAACGTGCTCGACGTTGATTTGGCAAGAGACCATTTGAATTATTCTTTGTATAATTCTGTCCAGTGTTCGATTTATTTTGGAGGTAGGAAAAGCTATCCCCATTTCAAGGTAACAGTAACGGTGGAAATATCGGTTAGGAAAATTAAGCCAAATGAACATTATGTGCTATACAGTTTACAAAATACTGCAATATCTATTGAGTAGCCACTAAATAATTAAAATATATGATCACTATCTTATTTTCAAAGAACCTACCATCGTATTTAGCTAGGAAAGCCTGAGCATCAGCATATTGCTGGGCAGCTAGGTAGCATTCAATAAGATTTTCATGGATATTGAAAAGATTTAAATTTGGATATTCCTTTATAAGCTAAAATTAGCATAGATATTGGGTTGAAATTAGATATAACGTGCGATTTCGTAATATATATATATATATATATATATATATATATATATATAGACTTTTACTTAACACAGGATAGAAAGAATAGTTTATCGCTAGTATGTTAACGGTTGTGAAAGACAAGCATATTAATAGTGCCTAGTACATTAAAACAATATGGATTAATCTGCTCTTGAAAACAAAATTCAATGATTTAGTTTAGAAACCATTAGATGTAAAAGGAGAAATCTCGTGAAGTAAAATCGCTTTCAGATAGGTCTGAAATTCTCATGCGCTACGTGAGATATACTGAGATAAAAGTTCTATTTGACTATATAGGGATTTTTCGTTGGGTCCAAACTACCAGTGTAAGCGTAATAGCTGGTCTGTTTGTAAAATTAATCATTCGATATGACACTTTGTTTGAAGCATGATTATTAATGAAGCCACTTTTACCCTTCAACAGTAACCATTAGCTGAAAATTTTAAAATTTATGAAGCTAAAAGCGAGAAACTGACAATAGACATATAAAATTTATGGAACGAACCCAAATTAACAGCTAAGAGAATGAAGTTGAATGCGATCAGAACTGTAGATGATTTGTGATTCCAACTTAGATTGTGATAGGATTTTTCGCCGAAGTGAAGCTTAGAAAGAAACATAACGACTGTTGTTTGTACGAACCTACAAATATGATCACAGACATTTCTTGACGTTTTCTGAATACAGAATTATAGTTAGTGTTTTCAATTATGCAGTGTTACCTTCTTATATTTAAGCCACATTGTTGATTCTGTGAGTTCGGAAAGTAAGCAATTTGTGGGTGGACTATTTGTGGTATCATTTACTTAACGGTGACGAGGAAGACGCTATACTTGTCCATTAAAAATATCCAACTTTCACCACACCCTAACAATCTGCAACGTAACTTTAGCCGAAGATCTTAGACAAGTGATTTATCTGGTATAGAATAACTTCAAAAAACAGTATATCACATGATTAGGTTGTACAGATACATAAGACCGATTAACGCTTTTAAGTATTAACTCAGGTAATGATATGAATATAAACAAAAGTGATTCAAATGGAATTTTAATTCAATTTGATGTATTTAGTCTTCGAAGAAAGTAGTAGCTAAACAGGTTAATAAGCTGTAATAATTTGAAATAAAGGATAATATTTATAAGCTCAGTTTTAATTTCATTTCTGCGTAATAGCTAATATCGAATTCAAATACTCTAAAAATTGAAAATAGATAAAAAGAAAGAATAATAACTGCAAGTTGGAGTGATGAGTAAAAACTGAAGTATAAGCATAAAAATATTAAATGTTGAGAACTGATGGATACATGGTTTTTTCTATGCACGGCCTTTAAAATTATCAAATGATAAACAAGAACATGTTATTTAAAACAAAACAGCTTTAAAAATCATGAAACTAATAGTTATTCTGAATTTGATTCATTTCTGAGGATAAAGTTGGAGATAAAACCAGATGTTAGTTATATGAAGTTCCTAATGAATCATTACAGTTCTTCTGATTATATAATACTTTTTTCATCTAATCACCACTGACATTGATTTCCTTACCTGGAATTATGGTTTGATTTGAATGACGGAAGAGTAAACAGGAATATCTTACTATGCATACTGCAATGATAAGACATTTGACATATCGCAACTAGCGCGATTCATTAAGAAGATGCACTCATCTCAATTTTTCTGGATGAGTATCATTTCCTTTAAATTAGCAGGAACGTATTTCTCACCTAGAAATATTAATCTATTTTGTTTTTTGCCTTTTACGTTATTGATTAAAAGTAACAGGTTAAACCAACAGACTTAAGGTAATTTAACCTAATTAATCTAATTACAGAATGTTTCTACACTAAAATATAATGAAAAAGCTTTACAAGTAAACGAGTTAATCGCTATAAGAACTTTCTTAACTAAAATATGCACTCATTCTTCAACAATAAATCACCAGGCCAAGTTCATTATTGATTCCTTGAAGGTATATTTCTCTGACTTGAAACATTGCAAGTGAGCACTTATCTTTCAATATATAAATTATAGAATACTGACCATGGAAAATAATGATGCACAGTAGCTAGAAATATTTTCTCAAAACAACATAGAACACATACATCTTTCATCATTTTTATTGCTTCTTTCAATTTACCCAATTTTCTTGCACACATTGCAAGTCGACGTCGAATGAAAACAAATGCATGTATATCTCTCCGATACATTGATTCATGTGCTGGACTGTGGTTTTGAAGCTGTTGAGAACGACGAAGATTTGTCTCAGCAACTTTATATGCTTGTTTGTATACTTTTTCTACCTGGAAGAAAGATATAAACAAGGACTAATATTTAGCAGAAACACAATATATTTAATTCAGTTTACCTAAAAAAAACACCGAATAAAGCCATAAAATAACAGAAATTCGACATAAAACCTACATAAAGGAAACAGAAATTGACGACTAACCGCTAGCTAGGTCATGTCTATTAGTATAAACAATTTCTGCGCCCGTCATTTCTATATAAACACGTCACAAGGAATCATGTTCCGTGAGTTTCTATGTCACTGACTGGGCTGCCACTAAAACAAAGCATTTATTTCTTAAAACATCTAACCACGATTTAAAATGCCGCTGTACCCATGTTTCTCTGGCAGACACTGAAAGTTTTTTTTCACAATGTGATTAATATCTCTAAAACACATCTGAAAGGAAGCCAATAAGTTTGTCCCAGTATGTGAACAAATTAAAACCAACTGTAAATCTAGCTTCGAATTAGAAACACTATCAAAATATTTAGGATGAATTAGTGATTAAATAGTTAGACTCAATGACAGCAAACAAGCAAGAAACAAAGATTTAGTTGAAGATATACTTTGAACATGAGATCAGTTTTAAACGCGAATAAACGATAATACGCTTTTACATCGGAAATCTGAATTTTTACGTTAATCTAAAATGCATGTAGGGTCTGACTTATTTCAAACAAACTGGAGTATTCTTTGCCCCAAATATTATATACCAACTGACAAATTTATAGATTGATCAAATTACGAATTTCGGGATGGAAATCCACGTCTAAGTATGACAATTAATAATTTATTGAAAATGGTAAATACATAGTTATGTTTAGTTCATATACTTTAATTGATGACACCAGTTTATCTATTAAAACTCATCTGGATTGCGTTATGATTGATTATTTAGATTTATTTTTTCTTTGCGTTTATACTAGTATCCCCGCTTGGATAGTAATTAGTGTTTAGAAACGACATTTTAAAAATGTTTACTAGTCTGGTGGGCATTTAACATAATATATCCTGAAACCGAGCACAGATACTTATGATAATAGTAATTTTTTTGAATGCAGGGAAATGTGGATCACTAAGGATTTATGGATGTTAGCTTGCTTTGAATGTACAAAGGCTAACAAAATCTTAAATCTAGATTCACTAACAATTTTTACGTCGAGAACAAGCATCAGTGAGTAACGAAAACCTATGATACTTAGCAGGTTTAGGCAGCATATAATAACTGCTATGTATACAAAGATGTAAGTGAATAGTTTCATGCACTAAAAAAATATAGTAAGTAAATAACATTAGGACAGATATCTTTCTTTCTTTTATGGTGTAATCGCCTAGCGGTTTCTGTTTATATGGGATAGTGAAACTGATGTTGCTGGAAAACTACGGCAAACCTATCATACTAAAAGGACGATATTGATGAAGAAATATATTGCTACCAGGGTACTGATAGAGCATGCGAGAATACTCCTAACTGTATTAAGATTAGCCTCAAAGTATAAAAATATTGAAAAACTTACAAATATCAAACTTAGTAAGATAAGTAGGTAAATCCAATAGTAATGTTAAACTACCGCTAAGTGTTGACAGCCAGCCGTGACTGAGCTATAAGAAGGATGAGATATATGTAAGATATGAATGTTCTAAATCTTCGATGGCTGACAGTTGTCTGTAGTGCTTAAATACAAGGACTATTCCCCATAACAGCTGTTAAAAAGGGACAGAAACCCTCATAAGGAACTGTTATCAACTCGTTTCAATACTCAGCAATAACTGGTTATTGCGTACGGTTGTTTATTCATTTTCGTTTGTTTATTTAAACACATGAAGATTGGTACGAGAGGGCACCAAATATATACGCGCCACATGAATCATTCAATTTGTGTGAGGGATGAGATACTGCCCGGGTGCAAAACCGAAGCAGATAAAAGCGTGACAATTGGATGTTGCGTATGGTTGTAAATTATTAGTATTTACGATGATACATTAAATACGGAGGCAAATCATCTACCAGTAAGCCAAAATGTGTGTGTACTATACCTTAAATGAAGTGAAAGGAAGGTATGGACATGAAAAATAGATGTTAAGTAGGAACTTATAAACTCACATCTACGATGTAGGAGCACTCCTCCTCTGCAAGCAAGATCATTGCAGTTGCACATTCAGGGTTCTTAGCCAAGGCCTCCTTGGTCTTCTTGATTCTTTCTTCGTGATTTCTCTCTCTCCACGAAAGTTGCATAACTTGAAATACTTTCGTACTAAAAAACAACATACTTTCATACTCAGGCTTTCCGCCATCTGCTTCACATGTGAAAAATGTCTGATGATCTTGAGCAGACAAGTTCATATCATAATACGTCAGGGGGTCACGACCTGTTTCGAGGAAAAACTTTCGATACTCCGCCCCCCTAAACAAACTATAAGGATTTCTCCACACCTTACACTCTAGAGGGAATTTTAAAAAAATACTAGCAAACCTTGCGTAGACGCTAGGTGACCATTAGATTCCACACTATCACATTCATTATCTTCATCACTTCCACCAATGAGTGGATATATATGGGTCCAAGAAATTTGCTCAATAAACGACTTTCCATACTTTTTAAAGTACCACCACTCAAAAATCTAAATGTTAAAATGAAAGAGATATCAATACCAAAATAAGCCCCGATATTAAGGAGCTTGTTCCTGTTAGAGCCACATAAAATTTAGGTGACAAAGTATTCAGAAACATTTTTACTACTAAAAAAGTCGTGATTAACAATGCACTGTTTGAACTTAGAACGTACTTCAAACTGCTCTGTCGATAGGTTACACTTGTGGGGATGTATTGTAGGTGAATAATTAAAATTTAGAAGCAAAGAAACGCTTTTAGAAGTCGAAAATTTGTTAGTGAACTTCCGTCGGTCTTAAAACTGTGAGGACACAAGACCAGCTAGACAGCTGGGTTTTTTTCAAAATGCCGCAAACAGTAAACGCTTTTCCTAAATTTGACCATGAATGAAATTTTTAATCAGCAGAAATACGACGTAACAATCCTTTAAATTTGATACGAAATAGTGTGACCCACGGAAAAGTACCAAACAATATCACAATTATTCTGGGTCCTCTGGTGACCCTATGAATCCTTTCAAACTTTGGACTTCGATACTTTCAGTATATGCTAACAGACAATTCTAGAAATTGATTTGTAATATGAGATTTATGCAACAATCAACATTCTAATTATGAATTTGATACTCTATAAAGTGCTGAAATTCCAAGACCTCATGTGGTGAATCTGCTCAAGTAGATTTGTATCCTCGTTGTGCTTTCATCCTACATATTTCATTAAGAGGCTGTATTTGAGAGATATGGAGAGTTTTTCATATATGATAAATATACGGTACAAGTGAGTAGAATCTCTCCTCGGTATTTTCTCACTGGTAAGTGATCTCGTTTCTGGTGTAGTTTCTTCCCTAAGTTAACCGCTGTAAAATTTATCATACAAGTCTAAAATTTAACACTGAAAACCCATGAACCTCCGGGAATAGAAGGTTGAACTACGATATCGCTTTCGGGGAGAGGCCTTATTCTCGGAATACAAGTGTTTGGAAACGCAACCGGCGATAATTTCCAAACACTTGGTAGTAGTAAACTGTTCAATAAAGGTGTTTGTAAGGTGATAACAGAAAATTAAATTTGTTTATGATATTGTGAGTAAGTGTCTCGTTACATGACTTTTTCGCGCATTACATTTAATATCAATAATCTCCATACATTTCTTCGGTGACTTCAAGCCCTTAAGGAGACCTTGTAAGACCTATTTTCCTTCCATGTCTCTCTAAAATACAAGGCAGAGCAAGTATCAGGGCTACACCATAATTTTGCATTTTCCGCTTCAAAGCCAAAAAGCCACTGGTTTAAAGTGGCGATATGAGGTACTCTGATTTTTAAAGACTTCCCTATGTGTGTAGAACATAGTGACAATTACGCAGAACATTCTGTCCTCAAAGAAGGTAACTAACTGAGATAGGAAGAGCAAAATAAAGCCGTACTTTGATGAATTCTTTTTAGAGAAAGTGTGGTGAGTATTTCAATTACTCAGGAACAAATATAAAAACGCGGTGGTTCCAATAAAATAGTAGCATGATTATTACAACGAAAGCTTATATTGAAAAGTTTCATATTGGGCATCTGAATCACCGCCAGTAGCTCTTCTCGATTGCCTCCTGAAATGGAAGCTGGTTTGTTCCCCTACTAACGTAGGTCAATGTTGATGATATCCCGATATTTTGCATCGACAATCAACAATAAATACCTGTACGTTTTCGATGATAGCTGGATTAGTTTGTAGTGGCATCGGGCCCTAACCATGCAGTTTTCAAGGCTGAACACGAGACAATCTGGAAAATAGATATTTAATATTTAACGCGGAGAAAAACACGGCGATGAAGAAGGTGGAAGGAATGTATTCAGTTATTTAGAATTGATCGGATGGCATCGCTCAACATCGCAGTCGTGGTCGCTCTGTACAACTCGCTGCTACCCATATTAAATATATATTGCTCTGTCTCCAGCCTGAATGTGTTCTCCATCATATATTTTTGGTCGTTACGACACGATGAGTCAATGTGTACAATGGTGTGACTTCCACGTAACATCTTAAAGTTTAGGCAGTTACATCACAACAAATCTTCGACATTGAGCGTAAGCGTATTATTAGAACGGTACTAATATCGAATCAAACCATAATTCTACATTGGTAAGTCCGACCAAAGAAACACAGCCTATCATTATTAATCTTTGTTCCCACTTTAACCGTCTCGATCGATTTTTACTTCCGTTAAACCAGTTTTCCATCAGTCCTCTGATTAGTGCTCATACGTATTATCGAAATGTAATACTGATTAGCACTCATAGCATACTAACTCAGTTGGTACTAATAACTGGCCGCCTATATTAATTATTAGCTTCGGTGGTTCATTAACAAGCTTTAGTAGCACTTAAAAGCTTCAGCGAAATGAACTTGTTAAACATCCAGCTCTAGTATATATGACCTGTAAATAACGTAAATATACATCGACCAGCGACGTTAGCAAGAACTGAATGGTTATCTGCAGCTAATCATATTCCTTCTTCACTTAAAACTTCAATCTGTTTTAAACTACAAATTATACTGAAAAATCCTTCTTCCGACCACTTCCCGCCTTATTTCGAATTTTGGATTTCCATTTTCAAACAACAAAGATAACACTTGTGTAGGTATGACTGACAAGCTTATTTTGTAAATAGTTTTCAATATTATTTGTATTTATCTTGTCAACCTTTCATTGTATGTATATTTACCATCAAATGATTGTACTTATTGTTTTAGTAAATGATTTTGAACACTTTTTCCGTTGTGATACTAACACAGCGTGACGTGCCGTTGCTGGCTAACAAATACACTGCTTCTCACACATTCCTCGTTCTATTTTCATTCGTGATTGCGTTAACTGAGATCTAAAACAAATATTATTTACATTCATAGACTGTGAGTGCGAATACTCCAAACCTTACTTTAGATTACACCACTGGAGAGTTCATCGATACGTTTGGAATTACCAAGCATCTATAATTGTGGAATAATTGTACCAGACTAAAGCTGAACACGCATCATTTTGGGTGAACTTAAGTAAAGTCCCGTTTTTATTGTATTTGTAACATTTAACTGGTATATATTAATATTACTATTGCTTTTTATTAACTTGGTTGATACTTTTTGCGTTTATATATCGTCTGGTCCTCCACAATTATTTGGTGATCCTCGTGTTTATCCTTACTGTTATATTGTTTATCATTTCACACAATTTACTGGTTTATTTTTCTCTTAATGTTTTCTCCCACTAACCTCATAGATATGGATTCGCCTACAGTAACAACTTTTGTCTCATTGTCGAACTCTACTGAAAATAATTTTAGTTCAGTTTATACTATCTCAGAATTCAGACTCCCAACTTATGGAACTAATAACCCAAGATTTTGGTTTGCACAAATTGAAGCTTTGTTCATGGCTGGAGGGATTATATCTCAGGCAACAAAGTATGCATATGTAGTCGGCACACTTGCTATTGAGATTGCCGCTGAAGTCGGGGATTTAATCAATACCGTGCCAGAATCTGAACCATATGATAAGATAAAGGCAGCAGTAATTCAACGTACATCGGTCTGAGATGAGAAAAGGCTGCAACAATTGCTAACGTCTGGTGACTTGGGAGACAAGAGACCCTCCCAGCTTCTTCGCCACATAAAACAACTTGCAGGTCCATACAAGCTAGACGAAGTCCTTCTGAAACAAATGTGGTTGCAAAGATAACCACATAGCGTTAGACAAATTCTTAGTGTCTCAGGGACATCCGTCGCCCTTGATGACTTAGCCGACATGGCGGATAAAATGATGGAAGTATACCACGGCAATCACTGTGTAAACCCTTTACAACCAGTTGAACCAGCAGATATCAGTCGTTTAGCCTCCTTTCAAAAGCAGTTAACGCAATTAACGAGCCAGCTAGCGCCACTGCAATCGACCATAGCAACCACCCAAGCTAGACAATTGAGGTCCCCCTCCAAACGAAGTAATTTTTCCAGACAACGGTTTCGGTCACCGAAGTGAACATCTGAAGTTTGTTGGTACCGCCAAAAATACGGCACCAAAGCACGGCTTTGCACACGGCCGTGCACATTTTCTGCGGCTGACACAAAGAATCAGGGAATTGGCCCGACCAGAAAGTGATGGCGGCGCCTGTTTCTGGCCACTACCCGAGCCGTCAATTTCATGTCAGGGATCGAATTTCGGGCTCAGATTTTTTGGTCGATACAGGACCTGAAATCAGCATCATTCCATTACACCTCTCTCAACGACGGCACCCTCAGAGTACTAAAATGTCTCTAGTCGCAGCCAATAACACAGTCATTAAAACTTATGGCGAACAGTCATTTATCTTAGATCTCGGTCTCCGGAGACGTTTCACTTGGGTTTTCATCGTAGCTGAAATCAAACAATCCATTCTCGGGGCTGACTTTCTTAGTGCTTACAACCTACTCGTAGATATGGAGAACAAGAAACTAATCGACAAAAACACAAGCTTACAGGTCAGCGGCACAACTATCTCCAGTTACGAAATTCATGGAGTCCGAATGTCAAGACCTGAAAACAAAATTTTCACCGATATCCTGTCGAAGTATGAAAGCATAACTAGAGCTGATTACCGAAGCAAACGCTCCACACAACATGTTCAACACAGTATTACTACTACAGGACCACCCATTCGCGCCAGGGCGAGAAGACTCCCTCAAAACAACTTGCAGTTCGCAAAGAGAGAATTCGAACACATGATGCAACTTGGGATAATCAAACAATCTAACAGTCCCTGGGCCTCGCCGGTGCATATGGTTCCCAAGAAAGATCAAGACTGACGCCCATGTGGAGGTTAGCGCGGATTGAATAACCAGACTATCCCAGACAGGTATCCGATCCCTCATCTGCATGATTTTTCTTTAAATCTACATGGAAAACAGGTCTTTTCAAAGTTAGATCTAGTCCGAGCATACCATCAAATACCGATGGCACCTGAGGATATCGAGAAACCAGCCGTAATCACACCTTTTGACTTGTTTAAATTCTTGAGGATGCCTTTCGGACTGAAATACGCCGCTCAAACTTTTCACAGATTTATGGACGAAGTAACTAGAGGTTTGGATTTTGTATTTGTCTACATCGACTATGTTTTAATCGCTAGCTCTTCCACTGAAGAACATGTTCAGCACTTACACACGCTTTTTGAACGTTTCAAAAGTTATGGTGTTGTAATCAACCCCTAGAAGTGTATATTTGGCGCCTCATCTCTGGAATTCCTGGGACACCACATTGATTCCCAAGGAATTAAATCGCTTGAAGAAAACGTCAAAGCCATCTCCAGATACCCAGAACCAACCTCAGTAAAATCACTGCGTCGTTTTCTTGGGACATGCAATTTTTATCGTCTATTTCTACCAAATTGTGCCGATGTACTACAGCCATTGACAGATCTAATGAAAAACGATAAATCAGGTACCAAGAAAGAAAAGAACCAAATATTCA